CCCCCCCCCCCCCCTTCACTTCCATGTGAATGAATGAGATACGTTTTAACAAACAGTACACCAACATCCCTATTTTTAAAGCACGGTTTCCCTTGTCCGAGGCAGCAGAGTGATGGATCCTGGTGAGTGGAGGGAGACATTTGATCCACTACAAGGAGCAGTGGAGGACCCAGGAGGTGGTCAATGGTGGTCTTGGCTCCCATTGATTAATCTGTGGACACCCTAAGGGCCACCCTAATCATTTGAGGAAACTACTTTTAAGCAATATAAAAACTAGCAAGCATAGTTTCCTCAAATGATCAGGGTTGTCAGTTTAAATACATATGTGGTGGAGGTCATCTTTGTTATGCCTACATGCAGCTTCACACCAAAATGGAAGTTGGCATCTCACTTATTTTTCAAGTTATTACTAGGGATGGGGCCGATCCGATCCAGTATCGGTATCGGCCTCCGATACCAGCATAATTTACGTATCGAGTTTTTCCGATCCACCTGCCGATATTTCCCATCCATGATGCATGTTGGTTTCAAACTATGGAATGGATTTCCTGAACGGCGGCGTGTCTCATGAACCCAGAGTAATAAGACCCGCCTCACATTCAGGAAATCCATTTTATAGTTTGCAGCCAGCTACAACGTGAGGACTGAGTTAGCAGCACTGTGGCTAACAGCTAACCAACTTTTCATCTAAACATGTCCGCTGTGTGGAAGTATTTTACACTAGAAACACCACAAAACAAGACAGCAACGTGTAATGTCTGCAGAGCCATAGTGCCACATTAAACTGTGGTAAAGTTAGTTTTACGATGGACATTCGAGCTCCGTGGCTTCAGCGGGGTGCTACTCTCGCTGAATCTGAAAGAGGCGACTCAACCCCGGCCAGCCGCGTCCAATCTGCCCCGCTCAGTCCGCCCGTCTCTGAGGATGGACAGACTCGGCGCGGTTGCCCCAAATCAGGCTGCTTGCTTCAGATTGAACAAGAAGAAGACATAGCTGAAACCACGGAGCTCTAATGTTTACAGAGAAGTTACCAAACTTCATCATAATTAATGACCAACCACTATCACTTGTAGAAAATGAAGGATTTCACAGTTTGATACTTGCAGTCAAGATATAGTTTACCCTCCAGGAGATATTTATCAGTGCAACTGTAAACAATCATAAAAAACATATGATTTGAAAATTATATTAAAAACAAAAACAGCTACATTATAAAGTGATGTAAAATACTAAAAACAGGAACATGCCTGTTGGTTTATGCCTTGTGTTTAAAGCCATTTAACATTTTATTTTATTTAATTCATTCATTTAAAAGAAACAAAATTTAAAAAAAATTTAAAAAAAAACATTGAATGAAAAGAGTGCAGAAAGAAAAAAAATATTCTTATATCTGCCCCTTATTTTAGAAAAATATAAAATAACTTTAAACAATCACTTAAATTAACCACTTTAATATCCACTTTAAAACTATGAATAAAAAGAAACATGTTTTGTGTTAGCAGAATTTAATTCTAACTTTAAAACTTATCCAACATTAATAAAACTTACCTCAAGTTGCCTTTTTGGACATGCATGCATATATTTGTACAAATTGTACTTGAGAGCAGATTATTACAGCCTCATATAAAATCAATGATGATCATGATATCGGAACTGGATCGGTATCGGCCGATATTTAGGTTTAGGTATCGGGATCGGAAGTAAAAAAAGTGGATCGGTGCATCCCTAGTTATTACGCTCACAACACAGACGGGCGCCAGGCAAGGCGCTCGGTTCTCTTGACCCTTGTTCAATGGTAGAGGAAACACTGGATTTTCTGTGAATAAAATGCACTTCTACAGTGTTTGTTTGAAATGCAGGTCGGCTGGGCTCACCTGGCTGCTTGCATCAGTTTTCAACTCTTTGTGAGTGGAGAACTGGATGTAGATAGGTACACTGCGGATAAGTGGAGGAACGGTGGTGTAGTACTTCACCATGGTGATGGCTGCATCCTCTGTGCCCATCTCTAAGAAAGCCTAGGAGGAGAGAATAAATTACGTCAACATGGAATGATTAATGACGGAATGTAAGTCAAGACACCACCAAACAGACTTGGGGCAGCTGTGGCTGAGTGGTTAGAGCAGTCGTTCTACAATGCAAGAGTTGGGGGTTTGATTCTACCAGCAGTCACATGCTGAAGTGTCCCTGGGCAAGACACTGAACCCCTCATTGCCTCCAATGTGTGTCACATCGGTATATGAATGTGATCTAAAGCACTGATTCAGATTCATTTTCATTCAACCTTTATTTATACAGGTTAATCCCACTGAGCCTCGTGAACTCATTTACAAGAGAGACCTGATTTTAACTAGGGAGGCACCAATCCACGTTTTTTTACTTCCGATCCAATCCCGATACCTAGAACTGAGTATCGGCCGATTTCGATAACATTCCGATATCATCATCATCATTGATTTTATATGAGGCTGTAATAATCTCCTCTCAAGTACAATTTGTACAAATATATGCATGCATGTCCAAAAAAACAACTTGAGGTAAGTTTTATTAATGTTGGATAAGTTTCAAAGTTAAAATTAAATTCTGCTAACAAAAAACTTTTTTTTATTATTCCTAGCATTGAAGTGGATATTAAAGTGATTAATTTAAGTGATTGTTTTAATAAGTTACTTTTTTTTTTTTTTTTTACATAAGGGGCATATTTTTTTTTCTTCTTTATGCACTCTTTTCATTCAATGTTTTCTTTTTGATTAATTTGTTGTTTCTTTTTGTTTCTTTTAAATGAATGAATAAATGAATAAAATAAAATAAAATGTTAAATGGCTTTAAACACCTGCTAAGTTCATGGCATAAATCAACAGACATGTTCCTGTTTTTAGTATTTTACATAGTTTTATAATGTAGCTGTTTTTGTTTCGTTTTTATATATATATAATTTTCTTGTAATTTTCAGTTCATATGTTATTTTATAATTGTCTACTGTTGTACTGATAAATATCTCCTGGAGGATAAACTGTATAATGGCTGCAAGTATCAAGCTGCAAAATCCTTCGTTTTCTACAACTGATAGCGGTTGGTCATTAATTATGATGAAGTTTAGCAACTTCTCTGTAAACATTCGAGCTCCGGGGCTTCAGCGATGTCTCCTTCTTGTTCAATCCGAAGCAAGCAGCCTGATTTCGGTCAGCCGCACTCAGTCTGTCCCTCCTCAGAGACGGGCAGAGTAAGCGCAGATGGCCGGGGTCCAGTTGCCTGTTTCGGGTTGAGCAAGAGTAGCGCCCCGCTGAAGCCACGGAGCTCGAATGTCCATCGTAAAACTAACTTTACTGCGGTTTAATGTGGCGCTATGGCTCTGCAGACATTGCACGTTGCTGTCTTGTTTTGTGGTGTTTCTAGTGTAAAATACTTCCACAAAGTGGACATGTTTCGATGAAAAGTTGGCTAACTGTTAGCCACAGTGCTGCTTACTCAGTCCTCACGTTTTAGCTGGCTTCAAACTACGAAATGGATTTCCTGAATGTGAGGTGGGTCTTATTACTCTGGGTTCATGAGACACGCCTCCGTTCAGGAAATCCATTCCATAGTTTGAAGCCAACATGCATCATGGATTGGAAATCTCTGCAGGTTGGATCGGAAAAATCCGATTATGTAAATTATGCTGGTATCGGAGGCCGATTCTGATACCGGATCGGCCCCATCCCTAATTTTAACAGTGAAGACAACAGTGGACAACAATAGACAGTCATAAAGGATGCGTACAAACTGAAAATAACAAGTGAAAATAAAATGGTATTAGAAAAAAATCTAAGAAAAAAAAAACAGCTAGTTTGTAAGGCGATGTAGAAAACTAAAAACAGAAACATGTCTGCGTTGTTTTTTCCCATGAACTTAGCAGTTGTTTGAAGGCACTTAGTCGAGAGCTTTAGATCTTTTTGTAAGATATTCCAGGAAACAGGAGTGGAGTAGGAGAAGGCCCTTTTTGCCTAGTTCAGTCCACATTGAGAGAACACTGCATGTAATAATGTCCTGAGAGTGCACGCTGTAGCTGCACTCACGCAGAGACATGTAGGAGGAGATGTATGAAGGCAACAGACCAAGAAGTGATGTAAAGATGAAAATGTTCCAGTGACCGACCGACTGGCCATCCATCCATCCATCTATCTATTATCTTCCGCTTATTTCGAAGTTGGTTCGCTGTGGCAGCAGCTTGAACAGGGAAGCCCAGACATCCATTTCCACAGCCACCTCTTCCAGCTCTTCTGGGAGAACTCCAAGTCGTTCCCAGGCCAATCGAAAGTCATAGTCTCTCCAGCGTGACCTGGGTCTTCCCCGGGGTCTCCTCCTAGTTGGACATGCCCGAAGCACCTCCCTAGGGAGGTGCCCAGGGGGCATCCTTACCAGATGACCGAAGCACCTCAACTTGCTCTTCTCTGCGTGGAGGAGTAGCAGTTCTACTCGGTCTTTCCTGTTAACTGAACTTCTCACCCTATCTCTAAAGGAGAATCCAGCTACCCTGTAGAGGAAATTAATTTCAACCGCGCCTTGTACATCCTTCTCCCCAGCTACACTTTCCAGCTCCTCCTGGGGGACCTTGGTGCGTTCCCAGACCAGAGAAGATATAGAATCCTTCCAGAGAGTTTTGGGTCTTCCCCAGGGCCTCTTCCCAGTGAGACCTGCCCAAAACACCTCTAAAGAAAGGCATCCAGGAGGCATCCTAATCAGATGAATCACCTCAACTGACTTCTTTCGATGCGAACGAGTAGCAGCTCTACTCCAAGCTCCCCCTAATGACGGAGCACCTCACCCTATCTCTAAGGCTGAGCCCAACTACCCGACGAAGGAAACTCATTTCAGATGCTTGAATCCAGGGTCTGGTTCTGTCATTATCCAAACCTCATGACAACAAGTGAGGGTTGGAACGTAGACAGACCAGTAAATCCAGAGATTGCCTTTTGACTAGGGATGGGGCCGATCCGAACCAGTATCGGTATCAGGCTCTGATACCAGCATAATTTATGTATCGGATTTTCCGATCCAACTTGCCGATAATTCTGATCCATGATGCATGTCTGTGGTTGCGTTGCACGTTGGCTTCAAACTATGGAATGGATTTCCTGAACGGAGGCGTGTCTCGTAAACCCAGAGTAATAAGACCAGCCTCACATTCAGGAAATCCAGTTCATAGTTTGCAGCCAGCTAAAACGTGAGGACTGAGTTAGCAGCACTGTGGATAACGGCTAATAAACTTTTAATCTAAACATGTCCGCTGTGTGGAAGTATTTTACACTAGAAACACCACAAAACAAGACAGCAATGTGCAATGTCTGCAGACCCATAGCACCACATTAAACCGTGGTAAAGTTAGTTTTAAGTTGGACATTTGAGCTCCGGGGCTTCAGCGGTCTGTTATTTTCGTTCAGTCAGGAGAAGGTTGTCTGATTTCGGTCAGCCACGCTCAGTCTGTCCGTGTCGGAGGGGCAGACTGAGCGCGGCTGACCAAGATCAGGCTGCTTGCTTCGGATTGAACAAGAAAAAAACATCGCTGAAGCCCTGGAGCTCAAATGTTTACCGAGAAGTTGCTAAACTTCATCGTAATTAATGACCAACCGCTATCAGTTGTAGAAAACGAAGGATTTTGCAGCTTGATACTTGCAGTCAAGATACAGTTTACCCTCCAGGAGATATTTATCAGTACAACAGTAGACGATCATAAAAAAACATACGATTTGAAAATTACAAGAAAATTATATATATATATATAAATATATATAAACGAAACAAAAACAGTTACATTATAAAGTGATGTAAATAACTAAAAACAGGAACATGCCTGTTGGTTTATGCCATGAACTTAGCAGATGCTTAAAGCCATTTAACATTTTATTTAATTTAATTCAGTTATTTATTCATTTAAAAGAAACTAAACAAATTCATCAAAAAAAAACATTGAATGAAAAGAGTGCAGAAAGAAGAAAAATCTTATATCTACCCGTTTAAAAAAAAAAAAAACTTTAAACAATCACTTAAATTAATCACTTTAATATCAACTTTAAAACTAGGAATAAAAAGAAACATGTTTTGTGTTAGCAGAATTTAATTCTAACTTTAAAACTTATCCAACATTAATAAAACTTACCTCAAGTTGCCGTTTTGGACATGCATGCATATATTTGTACAAATTGTACTTGAGAGGAGATTATTACAGCCTCATATAAAATCAATGATGATGATGATATCAGAACTGGATCGGTATCGGTCGATATTTAGATTTAGGTATCGGGATCGGATCAGAAGTAAAAAAATGTGGATTAGTGCATCCCTACTTTTGACTAAACTTTTTTACCAAAACCAACCAAAGCAATGCCCTCATTACTGAGGATAGGACCCTGATACGTGGATTTATCTCTCGCTCCATCCTACAGTCACTCAGGAACAAGACACTCAGATACTTCACTATGATACTCCTGCACCTGAGACAAAGTCTCCCCCGCCCCAACCCAGAGGGGTCATTCCACCTGTTTCCAGTTGAATTGATGACATGATGAAGGATTAGTCTTTGTGCCTTTATTCTACTGACCTGGTTCTTTCCCTTCAGGATAAGGATGTTAGTGACTTTTCCAAATGGTAATCCAAGAGCGATGACATCTGCATCTGAGACTTCACTGGGCAGTTTTCGTATGTGAAGCACACGCGATGGTGGAGCCTCATCCACCTTCATCTTCTTATTGTCACTGCCATTGGAAGCCCCATCTGAAATATGAACAAAAGCACAGATTTAATAATCTATGGAAAACATAACTGATCACCTTTAACAGTAAAAACTTCAGAACCTTTCATGCTGTGAGCCAAAAGCATAATGCAGCTCTTCAAATTGGAATGAAAAATAATAATTCCTTCTAATCAATGCAAAATGTTATAAAACAGTCTATGAAATAAAAAAATTATATTGAAAATGTTACTTTTATATAGAAAAAGTTGACGGTTTGAAGTATTCATGCCCATAAGAACATGTTAATGGTTAAAACGAGCAGTATAGGTTTGACACCCGAAGTAAACCTTTTTATGCCAAAATGTCTGTATTATGAAGAAAATTACTGCCCCTTTTCCACCGCTCCTCTTCAGCCCAACTCGGCTCTGTTTGGTACGGTTTGAGTACTTTTCCACGGTTATTTTTTAGCTGAATTGGACCCTTTTTTTGTCCCTGCTTCTCTGGTGGGTCCAAGAGAGCTGATTTGGCACCTAAAGGTGACGTCAGAACACTGTCGGTCACTGATTGGCCAGGGGGAGGAGTCACTGGATCCTTCAGAAACTTTTCACCAATCCGCCATTTGCAATTACTTGGAACTCGAAGCAGCGGCTGGATTTTATTCAAAGATTTTAAAAACAATAATGACAACACTGTGTTCTAATGCAGAAGTCCAGGTGTTTTTTTGTGTTTGATGACCGACGACAAAATTCAGAGCGACCTAGTCTCCGCAGAGGATCATATGAGCTGCCGACCCCTTGAAGCATGCGAGCCCGGGGTCCAGACCCTGGCCTCGCGTGCTCACAAAGGCCGGAATCCGAGCACTGGCAGACGAGTGGACCTTGACGAGTTTGGGATGGAGGGTGGAAACGTTTTTTTTTAATCAGTGAAGATTAAAAATAAATAAACGGTGCCGGCGTTATCATGAAATTCTGTTGTCGCTTTGACTTTTTAAAATAATGTTGATTAAAGTTAACTCAGCTGAAAAATCATAAAAAGACACAAAACTATTGGATCTTTCAGGAATATTTCCCTCAAATATGTTTAAAGAAGAGATACGGATTTTAGTTCAACTTTATTCTAACCTACAGATGTAGAAATCACAAAACAAGAATTAAACTTTAAATCAAAACTAAAATAAAACAATTTGTAAACAAGAAATAAAACCACATATCTAAACTGAACAATAAAAGTAGACACAATGAGTGCAAATACATCAAATGATGAAGAAAAATATAAAATTTGAAATCTAGATGTTTTTATAGAATCTGGTTCATTCCATCTTGGCACCAGCATAAATGGTTTGTTCCACTATGGAGTAAGTTGTTGGGGGGAAGAATCAGTTTTGTTTTGTGTGTTTCCTTGACTGATGAAGCCTTCTGGATGGAAGGTGAAACGTTTCAGCACAAAAAAAAAAGAAACTGTCCAGATGACCTGACTGAAAATTGTTGGATTGTATAAGTGGATTATTGAGCATAGACTATGTTGGTTAATTCAATTCAGTTTATTTATATAGTGCCAAGTCACAACAGAAATCTTCTCAGGGCACTGAACAGAAATATTAATATATAAAATAAGTTAAAAGAAACGATTCATATTTAAAAATACAAATTCAAATTCAAAAATACTTTATTAATCCCAGAGGGAAATTAAATGTTGTTGTAACTCATCATCCTGGTTTCATTGAAGAGTTGTTCTAGATGCTGATGGCTGTGGGCAGGAAGGATCTCTTGTAGCGTCTGTCCTACAATGGATTTGAAGAAGCCTCTGACTGAAGACACTTTGTTGTTGTATGAGTCTGATGAAGAGGATGCTGAGGGTTGTCTATAATGTTCTTCATTTTATGAAGAATCCTTCTTTGTACAATCATCTCCAAAGGTTCTAGAGGAGTCCCCAGAACTGAGCCAGCCTTCTTTATGTGCTTGTTGATCTTTTTTAAGTCACTTGCTCTGGTGCTGCTACCCCAGCAGATGATGGCAGAAGAGAAGGCACTCTCTACAACAGACTTATAGAAGATATGCAGCATCTTGCTGCAAACGTTGAAGAACTTCAGCTTCCTCAAGAAGTACAGTCTGCTCTGTCCCTTCTTGTAGATGCTTCACTGTTGCATTTCCAGTCCAGTCTGTTGTCCAGGTGAACTCCAAGGTATTTATACTTCTCCACCACCTCCACTTCTTCTCCCATGATGAAAATAGGGTTGGATCTGTTCCTGATTCTCCTGAAATCTACAATCATCTCCTTTGTTTTGTTCACATTCAAGATGAGATGATTGTTTCCACACCATGCCACAAAGCGGTCCACCAGTTCCCTGTACTCAGCTTCTTGTCCATCTGATACACCCGACCACTGCAGAGTCATCAGAATATTTCTGCAGATGACAGGAGTCTGTTTAATATTGGAAATCTGAGGTGTACAGAGTGAAAAGGAATGGTGAGAGTACAGTCCCCTGTATTGCTCCCGAGCTACTGACCACCTGGTTAGACACACAACCCTTCAGTCTCACAAACTGTGGTCTGTTTGTCACGTAGTCTTTGATCCAGGCAATTGTTGAGGCCTCCACCTGAGTCTTCTGAAGTTTCTGACAAAGCAAATCAGGCTGGATTGTGTTAAATGCACTGGAGAAATCAAAGAACATGACTCTCAAATGAAGTGCTCCCTCCACTCACCAGGTTTGTTACCTGCCCTGAACAAGCCAAAAAAGTAAAAAGAAAAACCATTGCCGTTCTTCTACACAGTGTAGCTCCTACCCACTTGAATACAATATAATAAAAATGTTAAAATTTACTTACATTCCCTGTTCAATTCCAGTCCGGAAAAACACTCATCTTGAAAACTAAAAAAACACTAATATTCAAATCCCTCATTGATGGAGACATCGGCATACTGCTTGTTAGAACATGAATGGATTTTTGTGATTCAGAATATATTGTGGACTTAGCTGTAAATGATCACCCCTCAGCAAAACATGAATATTGACTTTATTATTAAGTATTTCTGAAAACAATCTAGTTTTGTATACAACTATGTGTGCTATCTGTATTAGCATCAGTAACTCTGCTCTGGCTTTTCTTTGGTATTAAAGGAGAAAGGAAATAAAAGGTACTACTCCTGACATTAATTCTCTTTCAGACATTCTTTAGAGATTTAATAAACCAAAACACTTGATTAGAAAAGACTCACAAGGTGCAGTGCACTGCCTAGTACAGTTTAATTATTTGGTTTTGTGGAACAGCATTCAGCAGGCTCAGATTTGTTGTTATCAAATCTTTCTTCTTTTATGAAGCTCTCACAGCTTGCCTGAACAATAATTCATTTTAATCGGGTGTCCATCTCTGTATCAGACTGGTTCCTGAAGATAAACGACATCTGAGCACAATGGAAACTGTTTTTTTCCTGAGACAGGTCTCAGAGGTTACACAAGCTTTGATGTAGAGCTGTGCAGCAAAATAAAAACTTGGCTATTTATTAAAGAGAAAACTTACAAAAGCTCAAGGTTTTGATGATATGGACAGTTCTGTCTGTAGGGCTTAGTTGATCACTAACCAATGTCATAACCAAAATTATTCATCAGGGAATGTTTCCAGTGGCTGGGAAATCTGCTGCTGTGTCAATCATGTCTACCTCTGTTAACAGACCAGTAAATTTAACATCTACAGGTTCAAAGGTTGTTAAAAAAAACTGGTAGCTAATCAAATCAACACTAAAATACTAGTTCTTTTTCATATTCAATATAAATTTGATTTACAGTCTATTACTGCTTTTGAATGGATATATATATATATATATATATATATATATACTGGGGGTGTAACAGTACACGTGGGTGTACCGAACCGTTTTGGTACGGCATGTTCGGTTCAGTCCAAGTGCGTACCGTTTCGGTTATTTTTTCACTCATTAAATTTTATTAACGAGAGATTATGTGCCGCGGAACTAAAGTTCCTAAGCGTGTTTCAGCACGGCGCTATTATCTTGCAGCACGCGCAGCATTAGCTTCTCGTTGTGGTCTCCTGTTGATGAACATTATGACTTTCTTGTTAAAAGACGTGTAAATCCAAACCTGTGTGTTGACGTTGTTTCACAGAGATTGGATCTTCAGCAGCAACACGTCTAACTTGTTGACACGCTTGAAACAACATCTGAATGTGAACGTCTCTTCTAGCAGCTTGTTGCAAAGACCGATAACAGCAGCATTGAATTACCTGATACCTTTATCAGGTAATTCAGATCGATCCAGAGCAATAACACAAGCTGTAGGAGTTTTTAAAGCTCTGGAGCTACGTTTCTGTTGTTGATGCGCCGACTTTAAAGTTATTGAGCCCCGCTACAACATCATGTCAACACTTCAGCCAAAAAGTTGCAGCAGCACTTTATGAAAAAGCTAAAACTGATCGTCAACAAGCCCTGGACCAGATTAAAGCCCTGTCCTGATGATGATGATGACCGAGAGATTCAACCCCCCCATAACAAATTATGACCGTTCAAGAAGAGGTATTGTTCTTTTATTATTATTATTTAATTAACTTTTTTAATTTATTTATTATAATCTTATTAACTCTTTTATTTTTTCCTCTTTGTGTTTTATTTCCAGTCTGGGGCAGAGATAGCAGCTGAGTCTTCTTCCTCTTCAGGGAAATCAGAGATCACCTCCAGCTAAGAAGTCTGTGATGAGTGAACTCGGAACTCTTCCAGGGACCTGTCCCACCTGAGGGAGCAGGTCCAAGAGGTTGTGAGTAATGATGAGGCCAAATCCAGCCACACTGCTAAATTAGCAAAGCTCTACCTTTTTATTCCTGCTACTGTTGTTAGTGAGCGGTTTTCTCCACCGCTGGAGATATTCACTGCAACTAGATCTGTGATCTTGGCAGAAAATGTGGACAAGTTGGTCTTTTTGGCCAACAACCTAAAACTTGATTAGTTAAATTATAAACAGTCTGTTGCTGCTTCTTGTTCTGGTTCTGACTGTTTTTGTATTTATTAAGATTTTTATTATTCTTAGTATAGT